CGCTGTCCCTCAGCTCTTCAGCTCAAGGTGCGCTCTACCACTTGAGCTACAGCGCCACTTCCGGTTTTCTGGTGGTTTATTGGAGATAAGAGTCTCACAGTCTCTCTTGCCCGGGCTGGCTTTGAACCGCGATCCTCAGATCTCAGCCTCCTGAGTAGCTAGGATTACAGGCGTGAGCCACCAGCGCCCAGCTCATACTTGGCTTTTTGATGATTAATTTGATGTAAGAGTCTCATGGATTTTCCTGGTCTGGGCTCCAACCTCTATCCTCAGATTTCAGCCTCCTGAGTAGCAAGGATTACAGGTGTGCACCACGGGTACCCAGCTATTTTTCCCAGATTTCTCAGGGGCTCCTTGTCTGCATGCCCTGGTCCCTCCTTCAAGAGAATCAGTCCTCTACCAAAAAAGATACTGGGGCTGGGAAGTTGGCTCAGTGGTAGAGCGCTTGTTTTGCATGAATGAGGTCCTGGGTTCAATTCCTCAGAACCACATAAGCAGGAAAAAAAAGCTGGAAGTAAGCCGGGTGCTGGTGGCTCATGCCTGTACTCCTAGCTACTCAGGAGGCTGAGATCTGAGGATCGAGGTTCAAAGCCAGCCGGGGCAGGAGAGACGGTGAGACTCCTATCTCCAATAAACCACCAGAAAACCGGAAGTGGCGTTGTAGCTCAAGTGGTAGAGCGCTTGAGCTGAAGAGTTGAGGGACAGCGCCCAGGCCCAGAGTTCAAACCCCACCACCGACCAAAAAAAAAAAAAAAGCTGGAAGTGGCGCTGTGGCTCAAGTGGTAGAGCGCTAGCCTTGAGCTGAAGACCTGAGGGACAGCGCCCAGACCCAGAGTTCAGGCCCCACAACTGGACCAAAAAAAGAAAGAAAAAGAATACTGTACTTTTAAATTATAAATCTTAAGCCAGGTGCTGGTGGCTCACGCCTGTAATCCTAGCTACACAGGAGGCTGAGATCTGAGGAACGCAGTTCAAAGCCAGCCTGGGGAAGGAAAGTCCATGAGACTCTTATCTCCAATAAACCGCTAGAAAACCGGAAGTGGTGCTGTGGCTCAAGTGGTAGAGCGCTTGCCTTGAGCTGAAGAGTGCAAGGGCAGAGCCCAAGCCCAGAGTTCAAGCGCCACGACCGACCAAAAAAAATAAATAAAATTATAGCTCTTTCTAGAATTATTCCTCTTGTGGTTTCAGTAAGAAAAAATAGGAGACAGTTCATTATTTGACTGTCTGCTTCTGCCTCCTTCTGTTTTCACAGTTTGGGCTAGAACTTTAGGACATGCAATTACTACTCGACCTTCTCCAGACACATTGGTCCAGGTGCTGCTCGTCATCTGTTTGGATTCAGATTTGCCACCTGACGTCTCAGGCTGGTGACTCCTGCCTGTCATCCTAGCTATTCAGGAGGCTGGGACCCGAGGACCAAAGTATGAAGTCCTGAGACTTGAATCCAATTAACCAACAAGAAAGAAAAAAACGGGGAGGGGGGAGGGAGAAAGCCAGAAGTGAAGTTGTGATAAGAGTGATAAGAGTAGCTAGCTTTAAGCACAAAAACTGGGGTATAGGCCCCAAGACCAGGAACAGCATATACACACAAAAATAGTCCAAGGTTTGCCATTGCCTCTACTTCTGCGATAGAAAAATAAAAAGCCTAAAGTTGGAACTGGCTGGGAAGGTGGCTCAGTGGTAGAGTGCTTGCCTAACAGTACCACATAAACAGAAAAAGCTGGATGTGGCACTATGGCTCAAGTGGTAGAGTGCTAGCCTTGAGCCAAAGTGTCCAGGCCCTGAGTTCAAGCCCCAGGATTGGCAATAGTTTGAACCTAGCAGTCATCTGTTCTTTCCTCTGTACACCTTGACTTACCATACTTCCAAACACAATTACTTGCTTTTCTGTCTGCCTGTCCATTTGGACTGGGGCAATTCTCCGAATGGGTAATGCCAAGCCAAGTCGATCGTGGTAAGGTTGGGGGCAGGGGCGGGGGTTGAGGACGAATAAGTCACGGGAGCAGAATCCGACGTTGGGCACACCATGCATTTCCGATCTGTGGGGAGAATTACATAAACCAATGCCATGAAACTCAAACCCCAAACCTGAGCCTTGGGGCCGCGGGTTGACCCCGGCACCTCTCCCAGCCCCCCGCAGAGGGGCCCCGAGACTGCGGAGACTCGACGGAGGAGGGCAGGAGGAGGCCGGGGAGCCCCGGAGGCCGTCCAGCCGGAGTGGACAGGCAGTGACGCGCCTCCCCGAGGTCCGAGGCCACCGACCCCGCGCAGCCCCCGCGGCCCCGACCCCTGCAGCGGAGGAAGGCGCGGCCCCGGGGCAAGATGGCGGCCCCGCGGCCTTCTCCCCTCCGAGCCCCTCCGGGGCTCCTCCACACAGACAAGAACGACGCTGAGATCCGGGAACCTCCGCGAGGCCCGCGGCCACTCCCGGACTCCGGGGAGGTGACTCCGGCCACCGGGGCGCCGAGAGCCAGGGCGGGGTCGCTCCGAGGGCAGCAGGCCTGGGGGGAGCCCGCCGGCTAGCGCCCCTCGGTCTTTGTTCGCCCGGCGTTAGCCGGTCAGTGCCGTCGCGCTGCCGCAGGCCGGAAGCCGCTCCCTCCAGGTCCCGCCCCTCTCCCCAGCGACCCGGAAGTGACCCGGCGGCTGCTGCAGCGCGGCCCGGAGGAGGGTGGGTCTCCCCGGAGCGGAGCGCCGGAGTCCTCCTCCTCCTCCTCCTCCTCCTCTTCCTCCTCCGCGTCCTCCTCCTCCTCGTCCTCCTCC